CACAGCAAGTGTTCTTGTGTTATTTCTTCCCATGATGAGAGAGGGATGGCGAACGCAGTGAGGCCGGGTTTTATAACGTCCTTACACCGCAGCCATGGGCAACAAGGTGGACGGGGGGAATCTGCTAGCTCGCTGTAGAAGATGTTTTTCGGGAGCCTATCTACAAACATGGCCAGTCCAACGGAGGCAATGAGCTCTAAGCATGGTATCCATTAGCTTCCCAGGATATGCCTAGGATTGACCGGAGATATCAAAAGTGGAAAGCAATCAGGGGGCGTTCATGACGACAATATGTTACCCATGTCTCGCTGCAGTAGAGAAGGATGCTGAGAACGCATGATGTGTAAACACGGATCTTGAGGTTTACACTCTGATTTCTGTTGTTCCACACTCTCTTACGAAGGTTGCCAAAAGTTGTTGAGGCTTTACCAATGCGACAGCTTATCTCAGCATCCAATGAGCTGTTGGTGGTGACTGTTGCTCCTAAGTATGTGAAGTTCTTGACCACCCCAAGAGTAGAGCCATTTAACATAATATTTAGTGGATTGGCTTTGCCTTGAGGGAGGACAACAATCTTGCCAAGGTTGATCTTGAGGCATCACAAGCTCTGGCAAAGGAGTTGCAAGAGGATTGCAGACCAAAGTCTGTGTGCGAGACAATAGCAGCATCATCTGCATAGAGAAGCTCATGGACTCTGATGTGATTTACCTTCGACATGGCACGAAGACGAGTGAGGTTAAACAGCTTGCCTGAGCTTCTAGTGTGCAGGAGAATTCCAGATGGCCCGGGGTAAGCACGCACAAAAATACTGACACAAAGATGCCAAAGAGAGTTGGAGCAAGAACACACCCCTGTTTAACGCCAGTGATGATAGGTCTCTTGTCTAACCAGCTACCATTGTGTTGTGTAGTTGCGTTCATGTCTTGATGAAAAGCAGTTAAAATTGTGAGAAGATTGTCCAGACAGCCAAATCTTTGAAGACTTGCATTAAGCCCAGTCGTACTCACGCTGTCAAAGGCCTTTGACAGGTCAACAAAGACCACATACAGGGGACGCCGTTGCTCAGTACATTTCTCCTGTAGCTGCTTAAGGGTGAACACCATATCAACTGTTGAACGAAAACCACACTGGCTTTCTGGCAGAACACGGTAAGCCAGAGTCTGTAGGCGTGGAAAGAGTACCTTTGCAAACACCTTCCCTGCAAAGCTCAGAAGTGAGATTCCTCTGTAGTTGTTGCATTCTTGATGACTCCCTTTGTTCTTATAGAGCGTGATGATATTTGCATTTTTAAGTACACTTGGAATGCAATGCTTCTCCCAACACAGATAAATGATACTGTGAAGCTCTGATGTCAGCACATCCCCACCTGACTTAAAGACCTTAGGGGTAAGCCGTCAGCACCTAGTGACTTGTTGTTGTGAAGGGTGCTCATAGCTTTCTTTCAGCTTTTTCTTTCATGCATATTATACAAATGTACCTGCTGTCCAAGTCATGAAGAACTTTGAGGGATGGTAATGACTCCAGAACTTCTTGTGTCACAACAGCATCACGAGAGTAGGTAGAACAATAATGTTCTGTCCATCTTTCTAGTTGATTGCTGGGATCAGTGATAAGTACACCATCTGTTGACAGAAGTTGGGCCGATTTTCAGGAGTGGGGCCAATGGCTTCCCTTATCCCACTGTGCAGGCCTCGGAGATCACCAGTATCTGCACATGACTGGATGCGGTCACTAAGCTTTGACCAGTAGCGACGAAGTGGTACACGATTGAGGCATTGAACATTGTGTTCACCAAAGGCTGAGATGGAACATTTCATAACATTTCTGTAGCTGCCTGTAAATGATGTTGATTTAGATGTTGATGTTTTGCTGAACTGACCACCAAGCAATTCCGGGAATTTCTCCACACATTTACTGTCTTTGGTGTTAGAGACATCAATGGCTGGTGTAGGCTTTTATTTGTCTGTGTGATACTTCTTGGTGCTGATTTTCAATCTACAGCGCACTAAGGCATGATCGTATTACAGTCAGCTGAATGGAGACTGCGGCAATGAATAACGTCTCGAAGTTGCTTCCTCCACACAATCTCGTGTTAATGCTGATGCTGTTTTCGTGAGCGGGGGTGCATCCATGTTGTTTTGGAGGCATATGAACCAGCAAAGAAGGTGTTACAGATGCATAGGTTGTATAACTTGTATGTTGCACGAAGTTTGAGTAGTCGCTGACCGTTTTCATTCATGCTGCCAATGTCGTGTTTGCTGATAACATTACTCCAGGAGTTCAAGTCACAGCCAATGCGTGCGTTGAAGTCTCCTGCTAGGTATCTGCTAGGTATCTATCAAGTGCCCATCTCAGGACCTCGATACATCCTGTTTTAAGGTGCCAGACACTCCCCATTCACACCTCTGCCATAGGTTTTTAACAGGGATTGGTGTGAGACGCCAAGCAGTAGGAGTTTGGTTAGGAGAGGCTAATTGAGATGCAGGCTGAATGGGATATTTGGTGGATAGAGAGTGGCTCAATTCTCCCTACCATCCTTGCCATCCTAACCCTTTGATCCCCAATAGACAACCAATAATCAAATCTTTGAGAACTGTAACAGAGGGGAACTCAAATTTCCATCACAAAATATGGGAAACTTCAAGCCTTGATAAAAATAAATCCAAGTGCAGTAGAAGAAAAACAAAAACTGTTTCTAAAACCTTGGTTTGTCTACTTTCCAAGGAAAAATGATTGACGAGTAGAAAATGTTCCGGTACTTTGAAAATTCATGAGTTCGCAACTCTTATCCAGTAAAATTCCCAGCTTGGTAAAATATGTAGCCTTTGTTTTTGTTAAGATTTTTTTAAGATTTTGTTTTAGCTTTTCCCCAATTTGCGGAAAAGCCTTAGTTTTTGTTAAGATTTTCCTTTTTTTACTTGTTTTTTTTTCTTTTTGTTCTCTCCGAAATGCCATAGACTGTACATGTTTTATTCAGCCAAACACTTTTGGCATAAAGCAAAGTCCTATTCCCATAAAACTTAACCCATGTGTGAACTTTGGAACCCATGTGTGGACTTCGGGGCCCATAGTGAACTTGTTCCCCAAAGAGTGATGTCATCCTTAACATGTATATCTAAAGTCCTATATCTAGATAACTGTAGGTATGTAGGTAGTCTGAAATTGAGGTGACATCATGATGACATCATCAAAAATGCATTTTTTTAACCACGTATAAGGCTAAGTCCGATCATCTTGAAACTTTGTGGGTAAGTAGATACTGTTAAGAGTATACAAAACCCAAAGTGACGGCATCACCCGATTAATTTTAAAATTTTTACATTTCTTCTAAAAGCACAATATGACATAACATGCAACCTGATACACTTCAAACTAGGCACAGCCAAAGACCCCAAAATTAAGTTGGCCCTCGACAGGTGATGTCATCATGACGTCATAAATGGTCATGTGACATAATCTTAAAGGTGTATATTATATTATTTTATATCCAGAGAACTATACGTCGGATTGGGTTGGAACTTGGTATGTACATTGATGAGGATATGTTACAGACAATAATTTGAGTGACGTTCTGATGGCGAACTACAAGAACAGCTAGCTTAATAAGTCGTGGAATAATATTCTTGCATATCATTTCCCTGACTGCATATGCATAAAAACAAAACATTTGTAAACAATTACTTACCTGATTTGTTATTAATTTTTTTTTACTTTTAAGTTTTCTTCTACAAGCAAAAGTTGACATAAAATGCAATCAGATTGACTTCAAACCAGGATCAGACAAAGATCCCAAGGTTAAGTTGGCCCTAAACAAAGAATGTCATGACATCACCTTAAAGATTTTGTATCGAGAGAAATGTAAGTTCAGTTGGGTTGGAATTTGGTATGTACAGGGCGTCCTGAAAAAAAATGGTGCATGTAAATCCCTCCATTTTTGCTAATTTACAACCTGCGGATGTTTACATCATCTTCAAGGTAATAGATTTAGCTTGAGAATACCGTTTGTTTCATTGAGATTGCTCTTGTAAATCCAAAGATATGTTTGAATAACGGCAAAGCCTAGAAACCCATTTTGTGCCACTTTCTGTGAAGCAGTTAAAATCACTATAGGCCTTGTCCTAGTCTAAAACCAAATGACTTTACTGTTGGTGATTTTTAACATTTTTAAGCAGAGTGTGCAATATTTATTTATATTTAATTGAACTCTTTCATTGAAGTTTTAAAAAAGTGAACCTATCTGTAGTGTACTATTAAATTGTTTCAACATAAGAACCCTACATTATCCTGTGAATGGAATGTTTGTCTTACACCCATAGGGATAATCTTATCAAAAGAGCCATACTGGCATTGTCTGATCTTTAAAGCACTTTCTTCCTAAAAGTGGCACAGAATGGTTTTTTTTGGCTTTGCGGTTATTCAAACATATCTCTGGATTTACAAAAGCAATCTTAATTAAACAAAAGGTATTCTCAAGCTAAATCTGTAACCTTGAAGATCGTGTAAACATTTGCAGTAACTTCCAGTTGTAAATTGGCGAAAATGGCGGGGTTTACATGCACCATTATTTTCAGGACACCCTGTACATAAAGAGGGGCGTGTTACAGACAAAATTGGGGTGACGTTGTGATGAAATCATAGTGGGACACGAGACATTATCTTAAAGATGCCTATTTTAAATTCCTATACCTGGAAAACTTAGCCGTGGAAATTGTTCTTGCATATAATTTACCTGACTGCATAGGGATGAAAACGAAACATAAACTGCCCTACATGTATGTTCTTTTCCTCGAACAGACCTAGACCTACTTTTTTGTTAAAGTGAATATACATTGTGTAAAATCCTTAGTCCTGAGAGAATTGTGCAATTTGATTTGCTAAATATAAAATTTGAATGTACATGTACATTGTACATACATGTAAAACCATTGCGGTTAGGTCCAGCCGAGTTTGACTAATTGCAGTTAGCTGTATTGTTGATGTTATATCATTTGTTGTTACAGAACTTGGACAGGTCCAGCCTGGAGTCCTGCCCAGTCTCTGTCCAGCGTGTTAATCTCCATTCAGTCACTCATGAATGAGAATCCCTACCACAATGAACCTGGTTTTGAGCAGGTAAGCCATCACTTGAAAACTCACATTTTTGTAAGACAATTATTATACTGTACATGCAGTTACGTCCTTGGGTCAGGCAGTCTCCAGATGACAGGCAGAGCATACTGTCTGAAACATTGAGGAAACGTCGAGTTTTCCCCTGTTCTTTTCAGAACCTTGCAAACTTACAAAAGAGATAAATTTGTCACATGGTGCTGACATAAATCTTATCTTATTGCTACCTTCGCCATGCAAATCTTCAAATCTTTCAAGATGACCTATTAGCATTTATGAGGCAAACTGCAAGGTGTCCCAAAAAATGATGATGTTGATTGTCGTGGCATACACGGCAACGATCTGGCCGACAGCAAGGTAGCAATTTGGATTTTTTTCTCATTACAGGTTCCGATGTCATGGGAGAGCTTGCAAGTAATAACAATCATCAATAATTGTTGATAATAGTTGAAAGAAAATCTTATTCACTTTTACATGTCTTCACAGTGAAAGTTGCATGTTTTGTATAACATGGGACCGATGACCTTCCTAAGATGGCATTGCAGTTGCCTACCACAGCAATTTTTTTTTCTTCTATTTTTGGGCGTTCAAAACCCTCTGAAAAAGCTTTTACTTTGAGTTGCCTTTATGGACTACCAGTTTCATCCTGCAATTGACTGTTCCCTGTCCCTACTTTATCAATACTGATTTGGGGCAGGAACCACTGTATCCTGCAAGTATTGGATTGTCGGACCACAAATAATTTTGAATTTAAATTAATTATTCCTTCCATGGCCAACTTTTTTTATTCAATGTCTCATTTAAAAGGGAGTAACATTTGTATAGCTAGAAAACTAAGAATTTAAAAAACAAATCTAGTATTCAGGATGCAACTCTAAAATAAATGTAGCACAGACAGTACATCTTGAACATTTGAATACGTGTAAGGCTTCTGCTTTATACATAAAAGTTTTACAGAAAAACAAATTACTTGCATTGTGGTGTTTGTATTTTTTGTGTTTTTTCGTGTGTGATAGGAACGACAGCCAGGTGACTGTGAGCGTTACAATGACTGTATTCGCCATGAAACCATTAGAGTAGCTGTTTGTGACATGTTAGAAAGTGAAAATCCATCTATGCCAAAAACACTCAGGTTAGTACTTGCTACACTCAAATATTACCACTTGGAGAATATTCACAACACACTGATCATTTTTTGATTTTGCCATGACATACATACATTGTCTTCACGCCCAGGTTGGTATGTTTCAGTGCAATAAGCGAGTTTGGTATACCAACTGTGCATGTGCACATCAAGATTTGTAAATTTTTCTTTCGGGATAAAAATGCATCGTGTGCATGCAAAAGCATATAGTTGAGTATGTATGGGGGACCGTGCACACCCCCCCCCCCCCCCCAACTAACTTTCACCAATTGTTTTGGGTGTCTTTTAGGGTCCTGAATCACATTTTTGATGTTAACAGTAAAAAAAAATCCGATGCGAAGAAGATATCCAAGATGGCGGCCAATATGGCCGCCAAAATTGGTAAAAACTGGAAAAAGGACATATATTAGCCAAATAATGTGCTAAAAGCATAAATAAAATGGTAAGTTATATGTTTTAAACCCTCAAAAATTCATTTCTGGTATCCTTTTTTTGCTATTATGCTTCAAATTCAAGATGGCGGCTAAGATGGTAAACAAAATTTTAAAAAAGTCATATATTAGCCAAATAGTGTGATAAAAGAGTCAATAAAATTGTTAGTTATGTTTTTACCCTTGCAAAATCATTTCTGGTATCCCATTTTTTGCTAACATGCTTCAAGTTTAAGATGGCGGCCAGGATGGCTGCAAATATGGCCTCCAAAAGCAGTCAAATGTGAGAAAAATATATATATTAGCCAAATAATATGATAATTGCATACATTTAAATATTAGATACATGCTCTTAACCCTTACAAATTCATTTCAAGCATTTTTTTTCGTTTTGCTACCATGAACCAAATTCAAGATGGCTACCAATATGACTGCCAAAAATTGTCAAATTAGAGAATAGCCATATATTGGCCATAGATGTAAATGATATATATCAGTGAAAGTTGAGATGATGTACTTGAGACTGCACTGCATATCTGGATTTGTCTTACTTGCAAACATGTTCCAAATTGAAGATGGTGGTCTAAGTGACCGTAGTAAGGCCGGGCTTTCATCAACGGCCGGTTTAAGTATAGGCCAGACGGTAACTTGGCCGGTTAGTTTAATCTTCTTCAAACTGGTCAAGCAACCGGCCAGAGTCTGGCTGAGGCACCCACTAACTAGGGGATGTATTGTGTTCATGCCTGATAATTGCAGGTACGTCCCAGCAACGAGGGGTATTTAATCCGCTTAATCCTCCATGGTCAACAAAAGCCCTTAAGTGTGTGACTGCTATAGAGATTAACTGGCCACTGGCCACTTTCCTCGGGAGTCAATTAATTACGGGCAAATGGTTATGATAAATAATTAGGGGTTACTTTCTGCTTCTTCTTTTGGTAAATTTTACTTTCATAGAAACCAAACTGCTAGGTAATACGCTAAAACAAAATGTAATGAATAAGTATATGCCAGCCATCCATCTATGGAAAGATAGAGTCTGGAAACTTGTTTACACCATGTTTACACAATAGGCACTAATCCGCTTAGAACTCTTTGTTAACTTTGGAGGCTGACAGGCTGCATACCAGAAGGTTGTTCGTTGGGTGACTGAGGGGCAAAAATACCGGCTGAGGCTCAAAGGGCTGGTACAGGGCAGCGCAGTGGAGGAGATCAGTTCATGGAGGTAGAATTAGATGTCCAGGAAATTCTACCTCCTAGAGAGCACATGGCTACATTATTTGGATCATAGGGCCTATATGACGTTTTTCTATTATTTTATAATGGCCACCATATTGGCCGCCATTTTGAATTTGAAGCATTATAGCAACAACAAAAAAAGATACCAAAAATGAATTTGCAAGGGTAAAAACATATAACAAACATTTTTATTGATGCTTGTATCACATTAGGCCAAACAAAAAAATAGTTCTGCTTCCAATAACATGGCATTCGAAAATAGGGTAGGTAGGTAGGGATTTTTTTTTTTTGGCCAAATTTTTTTGTGTACGATCATATGGAGGCGTCTGCATGTAGTCAAGGGAAAAGGTATAAAGTGATGGTTTTGGGTGTTTTTTTTCTTCTCATTTTGCCAATAAGAAAATTAGGGTAAGGGCTGTCAAAATAGGGTAGGTAGGGAAACTGGAAGCAGAACTATTATTCTTTTGGCCTTATTTGGCTGATATATGCCTTTTTTTTGATTTTTTACCAATAAGGCGGCCATATTGTTCGCCATATTGGCCACCATTTTGAATTTGAAACATGATAGCAAGAAATAGATACCAGAAATGAATTTACAAGGGTAAAAAACATATAACTAACAATTTTATTGATGCTTTTATCTCATTTTATGGCTAATATATGACTTTTTTTAAACTTTTGTTTACTTTTTTGGCGGCCATATTGGCCACCATCCTGGCCATCATCATGAATTGGAAGCATGATAGCAAAAAAGAGATACCTGAAATGAATTTGAGAGGGTCAAAATCATATTTTACCATTTTATTTATGATTTTATCATACTATTAGGCTGATATGTGACTTTTTCCATTTTTTACCAATATGGCAGCCAAATTTGCCGCCATCTTGAATTTGAAGCATAATAGCAAAAAAATATACCAAAAATGAATTTTTGAGGGTTTAAAACATATAACTAACCATTTTATGTATGTTTTTAGCACATTATTTGGCTGATATATGTCTTTTTTCCAGTTTTTACCGATTTTTTTTTTGGGGGGGGGGGTGCACGGGGGGTCCCCCATACATACTCCCCTAATAGCAGGTATCATGAAAATTGAAGAGATGATTGTGTTCTGAAATATAACATTTTGCAAAAAAAATTTGGACTGCACAGTATTTTTAGGTGTTTTGTGTGTCAAAACTTTTCTGCGAACAAAAGTTCCATCTCTTTTCGATTGCACAAAAAATTGCACAGAATGCAGATTTGGTTACCACGTCCCCCATAGCCTTGTGTGTATTTGTCTGCCGTGGTTATCATGGGGAAAAAAAACATTGTCAAATCTTGCTGTGCACCAGACTATTTTGGAATACCAAACTGGATTATTCAGGAGCTCTTTAATCCATCCTTGGCTGTGTAATAATACATGTACATGTAGTCCCCTAGGTCACTTCATCCGAACTTGTTTTTTTGGGCACCCTGTTTAAATTTTATGGTTGTCATATTTTTTTGGCTTTGAAAGAGGGTCGGTTGGTGGGGGGGGGGGGGGGGAATCAGGAAAAAAATCTATGTGGAATGCACATCGTTGTGTCAGTGCAAAAACGTAAATGCCAAGTTTGTGAAAATTCAACTTTTATGAATTTTTATTGAGCTTTATCTAAACGTTATTACCAGAGAGTTTCATTAAAATATATTGCGTCATTATGAGGTAATGGATTAAAGTCATAAGGTCGTATATCGATTACAAACCAGACAGACCATTTATATGCAAAATGTTGTTTGTACAGTCATGTTGATGACACCATTTAAGTTTATATTTGCATTTTCTTGAAACCAAATTATCAGAAAAACAAATTCAATTATATTTTCTAATTTTCGTCTCAAAACGTATGTTGATTTCATTCAATTAAAAGTTCTTTAACTTAAAATCACATCTTAAAACAAAGAGTGAAACGTACATGGTATTAAAAATGTTGCTGAATAAATTACCTTCCTGAGGTTACTTTATCTTTTAATTTAATGTAACTCAATAATTCAGCCGAGCCACTACAACATATTTATGAGTTTTTCTCAAAACAACTCAGAACTGAGTTATGATGTTGTTGCATTCACACAACAATATTATGGCCGAAAAAAATATGCAAATTGTTTAACTTATGAGTGTTTTTTATTCCAGCTTTTATATGAATAAGATGTAATCCATCTTCGGCAATTTCTGGCATATGTTTAAGAAAATGATTAAAATATAAGACCATCCTTGGCAACTTTGGCAATTGTGTAGTTACATGCTCCACTCCTAGATCCTATAAAGACAACTAAAATCCAGTTCATTAGTTCATAAAATCAGTTACTAAACTCACCCAACTAGTTAGCAAAGTCGCAGATAGAGGAAAATATTGTGGGAAATATTTGGGTAACACTGCACTAAAGATGACAAAACACAACAAGAAAATAAATTTGACAAAGAACTCACCACGATGTAATGTGGACCTCGAAACCAACGATAGTCCTACTCTTCAAAAATGCCATAAATAAGGTCCTCAGCATCAAAAAGACTGTTTAAGGTTGCCTATGTCATTTTGGACTGATAAAATTGCCAAACCTTGGCATGAATGTGTTGCAAGTACAGCGGGGAGAGAGGGAGGACATTTTGACCATCTGTGACCTTTTTGCAGCAGGAGGGATAAAAACACCAGTTTGCAAGTTTGTTTTAAATGCAAGGTTGTTCGGTATTTTTAGTTTAAGATACATTTCACATTAAAATAAGCATTCTCAACTGAGGTGTTTGTAAATCAAGAAAAATGATGATTTTGGCCCAAAACGTTGATATAGCGCCCTCTAGTGTTGTCGTAGGATGGCGAAGTTTGTTTGAATGCTTCTATATTGACTCAAACAATATTTGTACCACATTTGAAAGCATTTGAATGCAAAATGTACAAATAATGCCAAAAATACTTTTTTTTTGACAAAAAATTGCAAAAACATAAAAAAGCAAAGCGCCCTCTTGTGGTTGCAGTAGCACAACCAAATGAGTTCAAGTTATTAAGTACCTACCAACCAACATTCTTGCCAAATTTCAGGAAAATAGGCCAAAGCACATGGCTGAAGTTGTAGTGGTCAGAATACCTTCACCTGGGCCCCTGATTTAACTATGCACTTTACCCACAATGCCTTGCATCTAGAGCCATAGACTTGTACATCGTCAGTCTGTTACCACAGGCGTCAGTCTGTTACCATGGTTTATTTCATTAATTACAAAATGGTACATGAATTTTCTTTGTTAATTTTGTTCATAGCTTGATGACTACAGAGAATCCAAAAAAAAAGAAGTTATTCTTACTAAT